GCCTGTGTTCTGGTGGATGAGGCTGGATCTTGTCTTTCCGGTGGGCAGGTCCACATCTGGTGGTGTGTTTTGGGGTGTCTGTGGACTTATGATTTTAGGCAGCCTCTCTGCTAATGGGTTGTGTTGTGTTCCTCTCTTGCTAGTTGTTTGGTATAGGGTGTCCAGCACTGTAGCTTGCTGGTCGTTGAGTGAAGCTGGGTGCTGGTGTTGAGATGGAGGTCTCTGGGAGATTTTTGCCATTTGATATTATGTGGAGCTGGGAGGTCTCTTGTGGACCTGTGTCCAGAAGTTGGCTCTCCCACCTCAGAGGCACAGCACTGACTCCTGGCTACAGCACCAAGAGCCTTTCATCCACACGACTCAGAATAAAAGGGAGAAAAAGCAGAAAGGAACAAAGAAAGGAAGAAAGAAGGAAGAAAGAAAGAATAAAGAAAGAAAGAAAGAAAGACGAAAGGAAGAAAGAAAGAAAGGAAGAAAGAAGGAGGGAGGGAGGAAGGAAGGAAGGGAGGGAGGGAAGGAAAGAAAGAAAGAAAGAAGATAAATTAAAATAAGATAAAATAAAGTTATTAAAATAAAAAATAATTATTAAAAAACAAAATTTTTTTAAAAAAGAAAGAAAGAAAAAAAGAAAACAGACAGATAGAACCCTAGGACAAATGGTGAGAGCAAAGCTATACAGACAAAATCTCACACAGAAGCATGCACTAACACACTCACAAAAAGAGGAAAAGGGAAAAAATCATAAATCTTGCTCTCAAAGTCCACCTCCTTAATTTGGTATGATTCATTGTCTATTCATATATTCCACAGATGCAGGGTACATCAAGTTGATTGTGGAGCTTTAGTCCGCTCTTCCTGAGGCTGATGGGAGAGATTGCCCTTTCTCTTCTTTGTTGTCACAGCTCCCGGGGCTCAGCTTTGGATTTGGCCCTGCCTCTGCGTGTAGGTCGTCGGAGGGCGTTTGTTTTTCGCTCAGACAGGACGGGGTTAAAGCAGCCGCTGATTCGGGGGCTCTGGCTCACTCAGACCTGGGGGAGGGAGGGGCATGGAGTGCAGGGCGAGCCTGCGGCGGCAGAGGCCAGCGTGATGTTGCACCAGCCTGAGGTGCGCCGTGCGTTCTCCCGGGGAAGTTGTCCCTGGACCCCGGGACCGTGGCAGTGGCGGGCTGCACAGGCTCCCCGGAAGGTGGGTGTGGATAGTGACCTGTGCTCGCACACAGGATTCTTGGTGGTGGCAGCAGCAGCCTTAGCGTCTCATGCCCGTCTCTGGGGTCCACGCTTTTAGCCTTGGCTCGCGCCCGTCTCTGGAACTCCTTTAAGCAGCGTTCTTAATCCCCTCTCCTTGAGCACTAGGAAACAAAGAGGGAAGAAAAAGTCTCTTGCCTCTTCGGCAGGTCCAGACTTTTCCCTGGACTCCCTCCCGGCTAGCTGTGGTGCACTAGCCCCCTTCAGGCTGTGTTCACACAGCCAACCTCAGTCCTTTCCCTGGGATCTGACCTCCGAAGCCCAAGCCTCAGCTCCCAGCCCCTGCCCGTCCCGGCGGGTGAGCAGACAAGCCTCTTGGGCTGGTGAGTGCAGGTTGGCAACGATCCTCTGTGCGGGAATCTCTCCGCTTTGCGCTCTGCACCCCTGTTGCTGCGCTCTCCTCCGTGGCTCCGAAGCTTCCCCCCACTCCACCCCCGTCGCCGTCAGTGAAGGGTCTTCCTAGTGTGTGGAAACCTTTCCTCCTTCACAGCTCCCTCCCACTGGTGCAGGTCCCGTCCCTATTCTTTTGTCTCTGTTTATTCTTTTTTCTTTTGCCCTACCCAGGTACCTGGGGAGTTTCTTGCCTTTTGCACGGTCTGAGGTCTTCTTCCAGCGTTCAGTAGGTGTTCTGTAGGAGCTGTTCCACATGTAGATGTATTTCTGATGTATTTGTGGGGAGGAAGGTGATCTCCTTACTCTTCCACCATCTTCCCCTCGTCCCACAAACTGATTATAGGATGCGGCTGTCGCTCTAGTTCAGGTCAGAGATTGTGGTGATTTCAGCCAGCTCAGAAGTAATTGTGAAGGGGAGAAGAGCAGAGATTCAAGAAATTGGAGTAGAATTAGAAGGACTTGATGATCAGAAGATGTGGGAGAGAGAAAGAGAGGAGGCGAGACTGAGAGTTCAGGTGTATGTGTGAGTTGGACGAGGGGCAGATGGAGCAGAGAAGGAGAGTGGCTGAAAGAGGGGTGAGGACGGAGAAGTGTCCCCGAGGCCTCTTCAATAGAGCTCGACTTTGGGCTGTATGGAGAGGTAACCTGGAGCAGGCAGAAGAGCGCTGGGCCTGGGCTCCCAGGAGGTGACAGTTGCAGGGTTTGTCCCTCAGAGCCTTCCCAGCTCTTCACCCTACGAGTTTGCAATGGAATCGTATCCATTTGGACCCTAATGGCCTTGAGAGAAGACCCTCACACGTAGTCTGTGAGAAAGATAAGGTGGAAGCTTATCCCCACTTGGCTGGTGAAGCTCAACGGCTTGTCTGTGGTCACACTCATGCTAAGGGGCAGATCCAGGATTTGTGTCACCACAGGGCACCCCTCCTGAGGCCACACTGCCTCCCAAGATGTCCCCAACTCTGTCTGGGTTCAAGCAAAACCTGAAAGATACATGGAACAAATCCATGCGTCCCTTTATTTCTTGAAAAAGTCAAGTCCCAACTTTGTTCCTTTTTATGGCTGAGTAATATTCCATTGTACATATGTACTACACATCTTCTTTATCCATTCCTCTGTCGATGGACATTTAGGTTGCTTCCATGTCTTGGCTATTGTAAATAGAGCTGCAATGAACATTGGGGTGCATGTATCCTTTCAGACCATGTTTTTCTCTGCATATATGCCCAGGAGTAGGATTACTGGATCAAATGGCAGTTCTATTTTTAGTTTTTTAAGTAGTCTCCATACTGTTCTCCATACTGTCCTATGTACTGTACTGTACAGTCTCTGTACTGTAAATTGGTACATAGTGGTTGTACGAATTTACTTTCCCACCAGCAGGGTAGGGGGGTTCATTTTCTCCACACCCTGTCCAGCATTTATTGTTTGTATATATTTTGATGATGGCCCTTCAGAGTGGTGGGAGGTGATACCTCATTGTAGCTTTGATTTGCATTTCTCTAATAATTAGCGGACTTGAGCATCTTTTCATGTGCTTCTTGGCCATCTGTATGTCTTCTTTGGAGAAATGTCTATTTAGGTCTTCTGTACATTTTTTGATTGGGATAATTGCTTCATTTTAAATTTCTTTAGTTATCTCTTAGATATCTATCAGTTGTCACTAATTCATACCCAAACTCTCCACAAACACATCAGGAATCTAGAAGTCTCGTCTCCTCCACCCCCACCGTTTTTAAAATTTCCTTGAGGACCTCACTGCTGGAGCCCAGCATCCTCCTGTTACAGTCCGATCTCATGCACCGCTGTCACCTCCAGGGCCCGTGAAGCACCTTGGGTACACAATCTAAGAAGGTATTCATTCTCAGGGTTGCACAAGTGTTGGATCAGTACTTGCCTGACCCTGAGAGTGAATGTCTCCTTGAATTTTGTGCCCTAGGCGCCTTGCTCTCCTCACCTTAGTCCTGGCCCTGCTCACTTCCATCCTTTGTTGGATTTCTTTACCTGAATCCCATACCATCCTGTTTTGCTTTATACTCCCTCATTATGGTGAGCACATCCTCCAGCTGTTTCCTGAGAAAGGAATGTGGGAGACAAACTCTCTGAGACTATATGTCTGAGATTGTCTTTATTCTCCCTTCATACTTGATTAATAATTTGGCTGCATATAGAATATCTTAGCTGTGTCCAGTGTAAGTATCTGAGTTTAGTGTCTCTTTGGTTCATTTTTTCAGAGAATTATCCTCCCATCACCCAGCTGTGTAGCGGAGGGAAAGGGGTCTGGGGTTTTAACTACTTCTTTGATAGACTTTCAATCAAGCCCTGTGCCCCACATCTGCTTTTTGTGACATCTGGTTGTTCCAAATTCTGCGTCTTTCCTAGATTCTCCAGCGGAAACAGGCTTGCTCTTGTGCGCATACCCCTTGCAGGTAACTACATTTCAACTTTCTGGTTCTCAGTTAATCCCTCTTCCGTCCACTGTCCAGCACGCAAACATTTTGCTGCTAGCTCTCACCCACTGTTAGCGTCTCTCTGATTCTCCTTTTCCTTGCAGAATCTCTATCTTTTAAAACATCCTTGTGGTAATTTTCATGAGGCTCCAGCAAGGAGTCACGATAAAAACGTGTGTTTATTCTGCCACATTCAATTAGGAGTATTTTCTGTCTTTTCTAAACTTTCTTTTGACCCACTTTCTCTCACACAGTCTTATTCACAGCTGTTTTAAAAACTGAGTCCAGTAAGAATCCTGAGCATGGCTCCCTGTGACTCATCTCCATGAAGTCTGTCCTAACTACTCTAACCTACATTGTTCCTGCCTTGTTGGAGCTTAACATGGTCCATACCTTATTCTAGCCCAGCGTGGGTTCTCCTTTGTTTCTTGTTTGCCAACTCGTGTGCTCCAAACCTGGCTGAAGTTGGGTATCCTCTTTCTCTGGTGTTCCCTCCACTGATGCCTTGCAGAGATGTGGAGAGGGAAATGTGAGTTGGAGGAAGACTATTCCTGGCTCTGTCTTTCTAGGACTCCCAACCTTTGGTGGCCAAATCAGCGTGACCCACCGCTGGCTCCCTGTCACTGAATGCAGCCCAGAGTGGTGCTGGAGCAGGTCCTGGGGGGAGAGGGCTAACTGCATCGAGCAAAGTGGGGGAGGAAAACACCTTGCCTTCTAGACCTAAAACAGGTTCCCAAGGCCAGAGCGGGGATGCTGGTGCCACAGGCATGCAGGCCATGTGCTGGGTGAGGAGGTAAGAGTGTCGCGTGAGCCTGGCTGAGGGGGTGTGTGACCTTGGGGTGGACAGAGCCCCAGAGGGCGGGCAAGTGTGAGGGACTGTTCACAGTTCATTGACCCTGGCCTGGGCTTCCTCCAGTAAGCACTGTGATCCTTGTCAATCTCTACCTGGTAGTGTTCACACCATACTGGCCTGTCACTGTGCTGCTCACATGGCTGGCTTTTGACTGGAAGATCCCTGAGCGAGGTGAGGGCCCTGCGAGGGCTGTGTTGCCACCCGCCACATGCTCTTTCTTTCTCTTCTTATACTGTGGCCAATTCCGGGCAGCCCTTCAGCCTGACCTTGTCTGGGCTGGAGAAGGTGAGGGAAGGGGTCTCTTCAAGGCACCAGCGAGGCCCAGATAGGAACTGGAGTAGGCTAGGGGAGGGGCGGCTAGTAAAGGAGAGAGCTAGGCCTGTCCTAAACTGGCCCAGATGTTCATTCCCAGCCTGGGTGTTACTTAAGAGGGCAGGAAACAGCAGGGGGTGAGGGCACCCTGAGGCAGGCCTTAAAGGGCTCTGAAGGAGACAACGGAGGTGGCCCAAGCTCAGCTACACTGGCTGTGTTCTCAGGTGGCTGCCGGTTTACCTGCATAAGGCACTGGTGCCTGTGGAAACAGTACTGTGATTACTCCCCACTCAAGGTGAGGAGCTGCAGATCTCCACTTGGGCCCCAGGCCCAGCCCTGACTCCAGTGGCAGTGGCTGGGTCAGGGTGGGGCATCATTCACATCGAGGCCCATGGGGATGACGCTGCCCGGAGCTGTGTATTACCCTACCTGCATGGCCAGCCAGACACGACAGCCCTTTCCTTTCTAGGTCTCTGGCCAGAAGAGGCGTCCTCTACCCTGGCTATACCCCTCTTGACTCCACGTTCCTCCACAGCTTTTGAAGACTCACGATCTCTCCCCTAGCCTCAACTACATCCTCGCCTGCCATCCTCATGGGCTCATGTCCCACTCATGCTTTGGCCACTTTGCCACAGAGAAGTCAGGCTTCTCCAAGATCTTTCCTGGCATCACTCCTTATGTCCTCACACTGGGGGCCTTTTTCTGGGGGCCTTTCCTCAGAGAATATGTCATGTCTACAGGTGAGTTGGCTCCTAGGATGTAAAGCCAAAGAAATAAATGGCTCCCCCAGAAAGAGGTGTTGGGTGAATGGGTGAGAACAAGGCCAATTCTGTGATTCCCTCTGGTCTGAAAAGCTACCATAGGTTCAGCTGCCTTATGTGAGGCTCTCCCCTCCTTTGAAGAGGTAGGGAGGAAAGTTAGCAGGTTTGGGAGATTACCAATGATCTTTTGTTTTTTTCTGCCCACCAGGGGCCTGCTCTGTGAGCCAGTCCTCCATGGACTTCCTGCTTACCCGTAGAAGCACAGGCAACATGCTGATCGTGGTGGTCAGTGGCCTGGCTGAGTGCAGATACAGCCTGCCAGGATCTACCACCTTGGTCTTGAAGAACCTCACCGGCTTCGTACGCACGGCCCTTCGGCATGGGTAAGGACACTTCTGGTCCTGACTGGGGAGAGGGGTTCCAAAAGCCCAGTGGGGAAGGAGGAAGAGGTTTTGAGGAAATGATATATAAAGAGGGAGGGGGAAAGCCGCTTCCGTGGTGGAGTAGAGCCTGGGTCACGTTCTAGAGGCATTTCTGCTTCTGAAGAAAGGCCAGCAGGCCAACTGGAACCTGATCTGCCTCAGACTAGCATCTCATCTGGACCAGTCCCTTTGTGAAAGGTGACTGGCTGCAACCCTATCTCAGAGAAAGCCAAAATTACCGTGTGGGCTGAAGGGAAGAAACCGCAAATAAATGGTCCTTGGGTCTTAGCTTCCAGTGTTTCAGACCTTGTGGGTTTACAGGAGGGTCTGGGACTCGCTTCCCTTAGCTTGCTGCTACTTTGCCCCCAGAGGCAGCTTGGGGTGGACCACGAGGCCCTCCCACCTAGCCTGGACCTGGGCCCAGCTGGGTTAGGGGCTGAGGAGCTTACAGGGAGACCCAGGTGGTCAGCGTGTGGTGGTCAGCGTGTCTGGCTTTCAGCAGGGTCCCTACCTTTCTGGTCATCAGAGAACATGCTTTTCCTCTGCAGGGTGGCTCTAATCCCTGTCTATGCCTTTGGGGAGACAGAACTCTACATAAAGCAGATTTTCACTCCCAGGGGCTTCGTTAATCGCTTCCAGAGTGGTTCCAGAGTATGGTACACATCTACCCTTGTGCTTTCTACGGGCATGGCTTCATTGAGAACTCCTGGGGCCTTCTGCCCTACGCTCGGCCTGTAACCACCATTGGTGAGTTGGCCCTTGTGCTGGCGGCGTCATCTGGAACACAGGATCCAGTTCCAAGGCTGGACCTTGGCTCTGGCCATGTCCAGAGGCAGGTCACTGGCCAGGATGAGCGCAGGGGTGGGGGAAGCGTGGGGAGAACCCGGGCTTGAGGGCTGAGGCCTGTTCTGAAGAGTGAGCCATCCTGATGCTTTCCCTTTCCCTTCTCCGTCTCCCCTGGCAGTTGGGAAGCCTCTACCACTGCCCAAGATTGAGAACCCGAGCAAGGAGACGGTGGTAAAATACCATGTGGTCTATATCGATGCCCTGCACAAACTGGCCAGCACAAGCCCAAGTTTGGCTTCGCAGAGACCCAGGAGCTGGTGCTAACTTGACAGACATCCCCCCGAGGTCTCTCAGCCTGGTTGGAAGGAGTGAAACAGGTGAACAAGAGGACAAAAGTCCTGATTTGGCCAGTCCTCACTGTGACAGGTACGTGCGTGTGGGTGCCTGTTGGGCTGTTTTCTGGATCCCTCTTCCTCTATTTCTCTCCTTCTAGCTCTTCTCTGCCTTTTCCTCGGGGTTACAAGGAGACGGCCCCAAAGCCAGGGAAGGCCCTAGGGGAGAGGGGTCCTGAAAGCTCCCTCACACATGCCCACTCGGCATCAGCACTGAGGAAAACAAGGCACAGAACAAAAAGCCCACCTTCTGATACTGCCTGGCCCCACCCAGCCTGTTCTGAGGGCCTAGTATCCCTGCACTTGTCTCTTTTTCTCCAGCTCTTAAGCAGCCCCATCTTCTGGCATCAAGGCTCCTCCAGGACTGGTGGCCTTGAGATCCAGTAGGCTTTGAGTTTAGGCCCCTCCACCTTCATGCCCTGTGACTTGGATCAGTCTTCTCTGAGCCTGTTTCCTCATCTGTAAAATGGGACAAATAGTCCCTCCCCTGCTTACCTCAAAGGCTGGTGGGATGATGATATCGAATGTGATTGAACTTTGTAAACTGGAGAGCGACACAAAATTATTCTCCACCAACCATTTTGCCCACTTCCTGTCCCTGAGCAAGCAATGCCCTAAACTTCATGGCATCTCAATGTTTAAAAGAAAGTTTATCCAATTAAAAAAACATTCTAATCTATTCTTATTTTTTAAAGTTTGTCTTTTGATTTTATTTTTTGGCCGTGCAGCACATGGGATCTTAGTTCCCCAACCGGGGATTGAACCCGTGCCCCCTGCGTTGGAAGCATGGGGAATTAACCACTGGACTGCCAAGGAAATCCCTAATCTATTTTTTAAAAAAGGAAGTTTACAGTGTAGGATCTTGTCAACAGTTGTTTGAAAGTTTAAGTAACCGTTCTAGTTGGGTGACCTTGGGGGAGCTACTTAAACTCTTTAATGTTGGTCCCCTCATCTGCAAAATGGGACGATACATCATGGGGAGCTGGAGGCTGGATCTACCAAAGCTGTTTTAGGCTGAGGCCTGAAGAATGTTATAGATGCTACGGTCTCAAGCTGAGGGTGACTCCCTGCTGTGTCTTTGCCTCAGGACAATGTTCCTTTTTGCAGGACCTCTAGCCTGTCAGACATGCGGTTACAGGAAAAGACCTAGGTGATGGGGATGGGTGTGTGTGAGCTGGGGCGCAGAGAAGATGCGGGATGTTCTGACAGGAAATTCAGACCACCTTCTTCCTGCTGCCCCTTCTGAAATGGGTGCCTCGGTCCTTCCCCAAGCTCATGTGTGGTGTCAAAGAAACACCTAGTGGGAATTCCTTCACGGTCCAGTGGTTAGGATTCTGGGCTTTCCCTGCTGAGGGTACAGGTTCAGTCCTGGTCGGGGAACTAAGATCCCCCAAGCCACAGGGCACGGCCAACCGCCAGCACCACCACCAGAACAACAGCAAAAAAAAAAGAAGCAGCACCTAGCAGGTAGGAAGTGCTTAAGCTATCTTAAGAACAAGGGGAAAAAGCTTTATTTGCAAAGAATAAACCATTAATTTACACAAACTTACATCCCAGTTTATATACATTATGTATAGTTTATATACACAGTATCTCACACTGAATGCTGACCCCCAAAGCAGCACTGGGCCTGCTTCAGGCCATCCTCACCACAAAGCCCACCCCCCACACCCCAGCTGGAAGCTTTTTGACTAAAGAAATGACATACCCCAACTCTACTTGGAGAGAGCCCTGAAAAGGATTACCAAAAAAAAAAAAACCTCCAGTTCCATCTTTGTGCTCACATGGCCTAGGGAAGCCTCCAGGCAGGGACGGCACCTGAGGCAGCGCCAGAGTGGCCTCAGGACTCTGTGGTGTTGGGCCCATCTGGAGCCTTCCATCCAGAGGCAGAAGCTGGGAGAGTGCCCTGGGGATGGAAGCACTCTGGCCAAAGCTGTGGCTATCTTTCCCCGCCTGGCTGGGCTCCTGATGGGGGCCAAGAACTTCCAGCCTCGAGTCTGTGGGTGGTAGAAATAAGGGGGTTGTGTGGGACATGGACTGTTCCCCCCTCACCCTGCTGAGCCTGGAGGTTGGGGCTCCTTCACCTCGGGCTGCTCGCCTTCCGTCTCTGGGCCTCAGTTTCCACATGAGTAACATGGGGTAGAACGTAGGTTGGGCTAGACTCCCTCTAAGGGCCTCTCAAACTCTGAATCTATTTGCATCCACCACAAGTTACATAAAACACACATACTCACACGTGGCTCAAAGTCTTTGTTCACCTCCAGGGTCCCTAGCCCTTTACTGCTCATCAAAAGAAATTTGGCTCAGGGTGGATGAAGGGGAAAATAAGGCAAAGACAACAGTTTCTGAGGAACCAGTAGCTGAACAGCCCTCCATAGCTGCCTTTTGTGTCAGCTTTGGCTGTTGAAGCCGAAGCAGCTGGCAAAGCCCCCGCCATGCAATTCTCCTTCAAACCTGTCGTCCACTTGCTCACAAATGCCCTCATCCCATTCTCTATGCTAGCTTTGGCCTTCTGGAAAAGCCACATCTGTGTAATTCCAAGGTGTGAATCTAGTTCCACATTCTCTCAAGAGTAAACTGCTTCAATAACTTTGCAGCAACAGGGCTACTTCTTGCTTCCCTCATCACCCCTCTCCCTCCAGGGTTCCTTTTGAGGGGTGGCAATGAATAAAGGAGTCCTGTGCGAATCCTACTTCCCCTCTAATCCCCTCCATATCCGGAGAATAGGGTGGATGTCAGAATGTTCCTTTAGGGGAACAATTAAGAAGCCTTTTCCTTCCTTCATCTCACACCTTTTTGGCTTTAGAACCAGACCTCTCTCAGGTCTTCCCTGCATCCCTGAGAGATCCTGGTAGTACAGAGGTCTTTGTGGTATGGCAGAAAGAGATAAGGAGTCACTTAGTAGCTGCAGGAAGTGGCTAGTTCCTATAACCTGGCTGGAGGGTAACCAGAGGAGGTCCTTGTCCACAGTTGGGGCTCCATACACAGTGGTTGGTTGGTTTATTGGGTGGATGAAAGAACATGAGGGGCATCCATTCTGTGGGTACTGGAGGCCTGCTGCTTGGACATGGTACCAAGGGGATTCTTCTGAACACAAGAGCTCTAAGGTTGATGGGTATTTTCCAAAGAAATTGCCTACTCTTTTGCCCCAGAGCCCCTGGCAGCCAAGAGAAGAGGCGTTACCATCAAGGAATGAAAACTAGCCTCTTTGGGTTTCTCCCTAGGTCCCTCAAGGATTTGAGCTCCATATTACCATTTTTATTGGTTCTCTCTAGATTCCAAATTCAACACAATGCTGGGGCAGAACAGAATAGCTTTGTAATCAGACCTGGTTGAAAGCCCCAGGTTTGTGACTTAAGCTGGTCAAAGCACTTAACCTCTCTGAGCCTCGTCTAAACAATGGGATTGGTAATATTATCAAAGGAGATACGAGAGAAAGCACTTTACAGACTTTAAGGAGACGTTCTCATCAGATCCTGCTATAACTGAGGACTGTCTAAGGCACTTTCTAGGAGCTAGGGCCAAACACATGCCTCAAGTTTGCCCCAGCTGGGGTGGCAAGGCTATCACTAGCAGCCAGACGATGGTGGCGTAGCTCACCCCCTCTAGCCCTGACCCTTGAAGGGTCAAGCAGTGTATTTGCTTAGAAAGGGAAGGCACAGCAGAGAAATGAGTACCTCTTGTTCTTGGTGGATTTCAGCTGCCTGAAGGAGCTTATTCCCTCTCTCCTCAAAAGGAAACGTTTCAGGAGTAAGAGTAGCAGATTCTACAAGACTGGCCCTCCCAGCTTTGGGTTAGACTCAGCACCTAGACTGGGCCCACGCAGTTAGAAATAAGGCCCTTGAATGATCTTGTCATATGATTCGATGGGAAGCTTGGGGTTGTGGAGGCAGGTGTCTTTGGGCCTGACTAGAGGGCAGAGCCCTGCCCCGTGCCTAGACGCTGCCTCCTGCTGAGCCTGGATTCAGGGGAGCAGCCCTGGAGTCTATGGTGACTCTGCTGTGCTGTGGTTTTCCGGAGCCAGAGAGAAGAAAGGGGAATGTGGTTAGTAGGGCATCAGCTGCTGTCCTTTCGGACAAGGCCTGGGCTAATGACCACTTGGGTTGCAACACACTTGAAGAAAACCCTGTCCTAGCCTCAGCTCTTACCCTTTCCAGGTCAGGTAGAAAAGCTCTGTCTTGCCGAGGCCCAGGGTCAGTCTAGGGTTTGGGAATGTTAGCAGGCTAGCCTGGCAGCTGCCTAAATATTAGAATTTGAAGGAACTTCTGGAGGTCATCCAGTCCAACCCTTTGCCCCCAGACATGACTCGACTAGATGAATATTTGTGTTGCTTAATAAATGGAAAATTTCCTTTGTGCCCAGGTAATCTAAAGAGTATCCCAGACTCACATAAACCCAGGTCCCAGGATAGGCACCTGTCTCAGACAGAGGTAGGCTCTGGGGAGGAAGAAAACGGAGGTTCTCGCCAGGTTGGGAAGGGGACAATTGCGGGGGGACCCAAGGAGTCTTCTGAGCTTGGAGCACAGCTGTAAACAAAGTGAAAGACATGTGGCCCCAAGCACGGCCTCTGTTTCTTATGCAGGCAGGTTTCTGGCCATGCCCTGCAATTGCTCCAAGGAAAAGCAAACCTCCTGTCCTCAAAGCCCTGCCAGCTGCCGGGACGCGGCTCAGTGAGAGTGGGAAAACCATCTGGCAGGTTTCTCCCCTGGGCTCTGCCACAAGCACCTGCCTTTCCCTCCCTGCCCCTCTCTTTAGGTTGCAATGCTCCCCTCCTGCCCCGCCCCCGCCCCGCCCTTCGGGGTCAGAGGCTTGCCCCACAGTCTGGGCTGCACCTTTGCTAATTCTCGCCTGCTGCCTGAGCCCCTCACTTTAGTGCAACAAAATGACACCCGGGACCTCGAGGTTGAAGAGTCATGCCGGAAGCAGTCAACACGGAGCCAAGGAGGAAGGTTCTGCTTCATGTCCTGTTCACTCAAGGTCATTCTGGAAAGTCAAGCAGACCTTGTCATCCTGAAGTCACCGGGGAATAAATAGCACTAGGGCATTTTTCTCTGTGGCTGCTACACCCACACACCTCACTCCACAGCAGCACTTAGGTTCTGGAAGTCCCGGCTCCCTAACCTGGGGTAGGAGCACGGGCAGGGGCAAAACGGGATTGGGGGGGGAAATCTAGGATGCAGGGGCCTCGCCCAGCCTGATGGCCCCGAAGAAGGTGGTGTGCTTGCTCATGTTGATGGAGATGTCGGCGTGCACCATCTTCACGGCGATCTTCTGCCGCGCTTTGAGAAGGCAGACGCCCGCCGTGTAACACGTGTTGTAGTTGGTTTTGCCTGTCTCGATGCTGCGGGTGCACTGCAGGAAGGGCTTCTCGTCCACCACCACCTCATAGCTGGCAAAGTCAGTGAAGTTGATGTAGTATACCTGGGGGAGAGGCAACGAGAAGGGATTGGGGGCGAGCGGAAGGAGAGGGTGGGCCCTCCCCGGTGACCAGCAGACGCGACCTGCTCACGCGAGCTGCCACTGCACCTCTTGAAGGCACGCTAGCCGGCCAGCAGGACGGGCGGGGCGACAGGCTTATTCGCTGTCCTGCCTCCCCTCCACTGGGCTCAGGGGGTTAAGCAAACCTCTTTCAACAGCACACGGGTGGGAGACTCTGCAAGAGCCAGAACCATGCCTCATTCACCCCTTTACCTCCCCCAGCGCCCCCTCCCTGCCCCCTGCCCTCCAGCACAGTTCTCGGCACACATTAGGTGCTGGATCAGTGCTACAGACACAAACGAAGGCGAATCAATTTCCAATTTCCAGCCCCAGGGACCATTTGTAGATAAACTTAGCAGTTACTGATTCCCCAGGGAGGGCACAGGAAAAATCTGCGAGTTCTTCAGTTCTCTCCGCTTACACCCTGCTCCCCTGCGGCTGAATTTCTCTCACTGATTCTCCCAGTGCCCCTTGGCGCTCTCGTCTGATGATTGAGGAAACAGATGCAGAGGGATGGAGAACTATCCATCACAAATGAGATAAAGAATGTGGAAGGGCAAAACTAACTTCGTGGCCAGAAGGAAGTGCTAAGCTGTGTTCAGTGGCATGATGTCCAGGGCATTTTCCCAGTTTGCGTGGGGTACAAGGCCTGAGGCCACTCCCAGTTCTATACCAGGCCCAGAAAATTAATTTTTCTCTTCTTCACTACCCTTATCCTTCACACCCCACTCCCAGCTTTGATCCCCACCCCCACCAAATGGCACTTAGGACGTTGGGATCATACCCCTGGGGACTGGGACACTCATCTGTTGCCCTAACTCACTTTGTGGAAGGCTGTTCCCACCACAGCCTGTTCAGGAGGCTGCAGTGTATTCAGACGCCATACAGTTTCTTGGGTCAGGACCCAAGCTGTGCCAAGATGCTCAGTAGGCTCAGCAAATGCTCGCGAACCCACCTTCTCCGGCCACTCTCCTGGGAGACCCTTCTGCCGGCTCCAGCGTCCTTCTGTCCATCCACCTGCTTGCTGCCCGCCCCTCAGAAGCCCCGGCCTCAAGGCTCGCCCACCGCTCGCTCTGAGGAGCCACCCCATTGGAGACAAACAACAGGGGTGGAAGTGGATGGGCATTGGTTGACCTGGGGAGTGGGCCCTGGGCCAGGACGAGGACAAAAACAGAGGGCGAAAAGGGCTTGGAGAACGACAGCAGGGGAAGGCAAGAATGACAGAGAAGCAGAAAGGTAGAGAAACAAATGGGAGAAAGAAGGAGGAAAGACAGAAATCTTTTTGAGGTGGAGAGAAGGTCCGGAGGGGCACTCTCAGTCTTCATTATAAAGCCAGTAGTGTGGGAGGAAGGGGTCCTCAGCAGCCCTGGAACTGACTTGCAAAGAATATATACTAAGGCAGAGTTCAAGTTTGGCAGTAGAACCAAACAACTCAGTGGGGAAACTAGGGCCTGGGGCTCCGTAGGAGGGAATCAGATGGCAGGGCGTGGGATGGGCCTCTTTTCAGTTTTTCAGTCATATCTGGCTAGGAAAAAACCCCAGACAGCCCCCTCTCTCTTTCCTCCCTCTTTTCAACTCCCTCCCAGTGCGCCCTCCCCGCTCCCCTCCCTTCCCTCCCAAAGCAGGACGTTAGCCATTGGCTGGGCTGGGCTGGCTCCACAGTGCCCCCCTGTGGCCTGCACGAGATCTGCATTCTGGATATAAGAAGAGTTAGGCCTGAGACCGTACTCACTTCTACCTGACTATAGATGAAGTAGGTGCCGTCCACCAGTACCTCCAACTCCCCACTGCGGGGGTGTAGCTTAAACACCTTGGGGTTCATGGTGATCCGAGACCAATCATTGAGCACTCCACCTGAAAGATCTCAGTATGAGAGAAGGGCAGTCACTCAGTACATGTCAGAACTATCTGGGCAATAAACACAAGAAATATCAAGCCATACACAACCCCCAGCCCCATCCCAATACAACCTGGATAGCCCAGGATGCCAAGCTTTAAGAACAGCATCTGGAAGCAGAGAAAGCAGTCTGTTTGTAAAGTGGCAGCTAGGCCTGCCTCAGGCCCGTGGGGTCTGCCTGTCCTTCTTCTTCTCTCCTTTCCTGACCCCTCTGTCTGGAACGATATTTAACCAACATCTTCTAGCTGGAATTGGGGGGGAGGTAAGAAGAGGGCGGGCACGCTGCCCTATTTTCTTTGTTGTTCTGGGGCCTGCACAGGCAAAATCCAGACACTGAGGGGCAGGCTAGGTCTTATTATTCCATTTCATCTCACCAGCTATAGCTCCTGAATCCCTCTCCTGTCTTACAGGTTCATGGGTTTTCTCCTTGCCCTTAAGAGATTCCTTTCTATAGTACCTCCACACCCACTCCTTTCTGGAAAGCCTCGCTGGGCCCCCAGGAAACCACTCAGCCCAAGGAACTGTCTACCCGGAGAACCTTAGGGATCAGGTGTGAGTCAGACTTCATGGCAGCCGGAGCAAGTGACCACCAGTAATAAAGCCCGGTAGGGGAGAGGGATCCTTACGAGAGTGAGGGATAGACCGCAACGCAGCACTAGAACCAACCAAAGGGATGGAGAGGGTGTCTGGGCACTGAGGCACCCCAGCAAAGCATGTCTCTCAGTAATACACCATATGGGGTGGAGGGTCAGTCACTCCACCTTGGCTGGACGGTGGGGGCTGGCATGTGAGGGAGGAGGAAAAGCTTCCCTTTCCATCCTGCAGCAAGGGGGATGTTCCTTCCCACCTCAAGAGGAGGGAGTCCAGGCCTAAGGAGCCTTCTAGCCTCAAAACCATCCATTCTTCATTCGAGAAAATATGTTTTGAAAGTCCATCCTTGGCTAGTCTCAGGAGGTCTGCCTTTCTGAGGTGTAAGGAAACTGGCCTTCTAGAAAAGGTGCCCGTCTTCCCTTAAGGTGATAAGCAGATGGGATAGGAGTTTGGAGGAGATGCCCTGGCTCTGCCCCTCACGGAGGACGGCTCTGCATGGTATCTTGCTACCCCTGATGCCCTCACTCTTTATTTTAAATTTTAATTTATTTAGTTTTGGCTGTGTTGGGTCTTTGTTGCTGCGCGCGAGCTTTCTCTAGTTGCGGCGAGCGGGGGCTACTGTTTTTTGTGTTGCGGTGCATGGGCTTCTCATTGCGGTGGCTTCTCTTGTTGCAGAGCACGGGCTCTAGGCACACAGGCTTCAGCAGTTGTGGCGCACGGGCTTAGTTGCTCCACAGCATGTGGGATCTTCCCGGACCAGGGCTCGAACCCGTGTCCCCTGCATTGGCAGGCGGATTTTTAACCACTGAGCCACCAGGGAAGCCCTGATGCTCTCACTCTTGCTTCTGTTGGAACTAAAGATCAGCATATACTACTAGGGATTGGCCCAGAAGGGTTGGAACCAGTCTTGTTATGTGGTGGGAGCAAAATCAGTAGCTTCTGGCATAACATTGAGGCCACCCATCGAGACACCCAAACAAATCTATTTCCTGCCTGTCTCACCCTTCTCTGGACAGATGGTGATCATGGCCCATCCAGGGCCCTGGGGCCCAAGGTACTTGGTCCCAGCAGGACTGCTTAGGTTTTGGTGCCATTCTGTTCCTACTTATATTTCTGAGGTGATTGAGTCAGGCATTCTGGTGGCACTCCAGGATGTAGCCAAGCCCGATCATTAAGGAAGCAGAGCACAGCCAGTTCAGGACTGACTGGGCTCTTAGAAGCTGTCCCCATGCAGCAGGTTTCTGAACCTTCATTTACTGTTTCTGTACTCACAGCCCCTCCCAGTAAGCGTCTGGCATCTTGGCTGGCTTGCTGCTTCCCGAGGCTCCTGGGGGTTCACGCATTTTAGGCTTTGTGCACCCTGGGGACCGGACATTATTTCAAAGCGCCGTTCTTTAATGAACGTTCATGTCTCTTTGAGGAAGAAAATGAAGCTAATCATTCAGTGGAGTATACACACACATCTCTGAAGTGGCATAGTGCGGTGGAGAGAGTCAAACAGATGTGGTTTTGAATCCCAGCTCCTACACTTAACGGAAACCTTGGGCCAGTTAATTAACTTCTCTGAGCTTCAGTTTCTGTCTCTGTAAAAAGGAGCTAATGCCTACCTTTGTCGTGAGGATCAAATCAAATCAAAGACAAAGAAAGTATGTTGAAAACTCTAAAGTACCATACAGATATAAGGCAGTAGATTTAGTATGGTGTTGTCCAATTTGTCTGGCACTCTGTTTCCCCACCTTTTAAATGCAGGGATTACACTAAATTAGGGTTTCTAACCTCCTGAAATCCACCCCCCTTTTTCATAGACACTAGCATCTCAACATGCCCCCCACTTCCCTGAGAGAAATGCCTCCTCCACCCATTTTCTGTGTAGACCCATCAGACAAGAAGATTCGATTTTATGTCGTTCTACTTTCTCTAATTTGTATTGTGAAAATGGTGATAAAACTACACATATCCCCAACGGTGACTCTGATTCAGCCTCCACCTCCCAAGAATCCCTGGTTTAGACAATGTCTCAAGTCCCTTTCAGCTTCCTCATCAGCGATTCTAAATGCAATTTGTAGCAACCTTAGGGCAAGCAATTACTCAGGACAGCCAGCAGAGGGCAAAATGGAGTAGAGAATGGCCCCTAATGTCAAGGGTACCTCAGGGGCCTGGGAGGAACAAGGCTGGGGGTAAGGGGAGGAGAAACTCTCCTTAGGGAGAGAGCCTACTTTGACTCTTACCATTCTTGACTTGGATTGCTGACCCTTGGCCCTGTAGATGCACCACGGCTGGCTGGGAGGATAAGAAGGACAGAGAGAGTAGTCACTGTGAGAAATGGCTGCTTGCTCAGCCACCAGTTGCCAGGATTCCACCTCTGGTTTCTAGTCTTCATTTGTATCCCAATTCTGATCCCTCTCCCCTTTCTTGGGATGCGAGTGGCCACATTTCTACTAGAGGGTAATATGATTTTGTAGCTCTGCCACTTCATAGCTGTGTGACCTCGGCCAAATGTTATGCTTCTGAGCCTCATTTCGCTAACTGTGAAATGGGGATCATGAGAATCTCTGTCTGACCTCTCTCACAGGGATGTCTGAAGATCAACTGAGGTGATGAATATAAAATGCCCTGCAAGCCGTCAAGCACCGTGCAACTGTGTAGATTGATCGCCGTGACCAAACAGCTGTAGTGAGGGAGGCTGAGATGAGACAAGGCGAGGCGGCGGAACCTGCCAGTAGAGACGGATCAGGAAGCTCAGAGACTAGGGAGGAGTCCTTCAGGCCGTGAAGGCAGAAGTCTAGGCTGGGCTTGACCCAGAGCTGGTTGGCTGATTTTCAAGGACATACTCTTAAACTTCTAAGCTGCTGATGTCAGGTGGTCTGAGGGCCGACAAGGTGTCTGGGGTGGCCGGGGAGGCAGAGATCCAGGTGAATAGGCCTGACTGGCAGCTGACTATTGGGTTTGGCAATGGTGACCCTCTGTCTCCTGGGGAATGGGGAAAAATGGCCATGACAAGACTCAGTTCCCTTGCTAAAGGCAGGCCCTGAGGCAAAGCTTTTCTATTCATAGAGATGGAGGAGGCTGTGAATGAAGAACCTCAGAACCTCCAGGGTCTCCTCACAAGATAAAGCCTCAGCAAATTGAATAGGGAGCAAACTCAAGGGTGGCTCTAGCCTGTGGTCTTCCCTCCTCTCCAGCAAGAGAGCAATTCCCAGCCAACCTGGTTTTCTCGAGTTCCAGCTTTATCAGCAGCACCTGCAAAATAGGACAGGCCAGTCAGAGGGCGTCTCTTTCTATTTCCTTTACTCCTCACCTAGGCAGCCAGTGGCACTGAGCTTTTGCTCCCTGTAGTGAAGCCCTGTCTGAGTGTTATTTTCCAGGGCTCAGAAATGGAGGGAGAGTCAGGGTGTGATGCAGGGCACTGGGGTAGGAGAGGACACTCCTTCCTTCTCTTACTTGCTCCCGACCTGCATCTTCAGTGGGCCTAGCAACCAGCAGGGAAACTGGCCTCTCACCAACGCTGGTCTAAGGGAAGTACCACCGAGCACCTATGGAGACAGAGAAGAGTGTTTTCCTGCCACCACGTGACCCCGAGACGACGGTGCTCGCTTCTTTAACCTTTTGCTCCCTTTCTATTAATTTCCTTCATAGAGCGCATTGCCATTTGTAAATACCTTGCTTCTTTACTTGTCTCTCTCCTCCTGTAGGACATAAATTCCACGAGAACAGGGACCACTTATCAATATATCTCTTGCACATAGAAAGTGCTCAATTAATATTTGTGGAAAGATTGGATGGGAAGAAAAACCCTAACTGCATCTCTTGGGGCCACGGTGACATGGATTAGCCCTGTTTGAACTATGAGTCAAAGAATCTGAGTCTTGTGGCAGTAAAGACCCAGAGAAATCAGCTGTAAAGACTCCATTTCTGTAAAGCCCCAAGATACAAGAGGGGAATAGGAGAAGGAAATAACAACTGACCTAAGCCCAGGTAGTCTGACTCCTGTCAACTTCAATTAGGCAGGTTTGGATCTGGATCTATATCTTTTGGATGCCCTTCTGGGCCCAAAGGGAAAGATGCAAAGAGATTAAATGCTCTTCAAATGGGCAATGTGGTGGGGGGAAGGATATAGTGCACACCAGTGTACACCACCATTTGAAAATGCTCTTGGGATCACCCACTCTTGCTCTATAAGAGAACTTTTAAGGAGCCTAGGAGGGTGGAGAGATGGAAGAACTCACCAGAAGGTCCCTGGAGACCAGGGGGTCCTTGAGGACCAGGAGGACCTGGAGGGCCAGGTGGTCCCATAACAGTTGTTCCTGGAATTCCAGGAATCCCTGGAATCCCTGGGGGTCCTTGGGGTCCTGGAGGTCCTGGAGGTCCTGGGGGGCCATTGGGCCCAGGAGGTCCTGCCTTCTTTCCTGAAAGACAAGATTAGGTATTACATTTGTAGTTATTGACTGAGAATGTACTGTCAGGAGTTCCTCAGCCTTCTAATGACACAAAGTCGGCCCTCTGGGAGTTCCTGCTCTTAAAGAGGTGGATACTTTTATCATACGTCATACACACACACACACACACACACACACACACACACACACACACACTCCCTACCCTGTTTCATGAATAATCATTTACAGGTTGGGTTTGAAGATATAATGGCCCTCAAGGAGCTCAGTCTAGTGGGGAAACAGACACAGTCACACGATAGTAGAAGTGCTGCATTAGTGGTAGGGACAAAATGCTGGAGAGGTCAGGGAAGGCTTCAAAAAGGAGGTTACAGTTCGGCTAAGTCCAAAGGATCAGAATTGCCAAGTGGCTAGACCTATGGGTCACTTTTTAGAATTGAGAACTGGGCTATTGTTGAAGAGTGTGGCTTTCACATTTATTGTCCAGGCCTGACCTTAGGAAGAATATTGGCTCCAGGAAGGTTTCCTATAGGAGTCGGGATGTACAGGGACTTGGGCTTGGGATGGAGGTGGGAATGTGGGATTGGAAGGAGTCTGGGAGATGAGAGGTGGGGGAGGGGAGGGCGAGGGAGGGAAGGGGGGGAGAGAGAGAGAGAGTGAGAGAGAGACAGAGAGGGCTCGAGCACCATAAGGAAAGAAGGGGCAGTGGAGAGCACAGAGCTGAGCTGAGGAGGAAGCAGCAGGCAGGTTTTTGCTTTCTCAGCTGACCCCTCTAAACCCTAGTTTTAAAGATCTCTGGGAAAGGAAATTCTTCAAACTCCCTTGGTAACATGTTCCAATGTTTATTACCCCCTCACTGTTAGGAAGTTCTTCTGTATATTGAACTGAAATTCCTCCTGTGGCAGTTTAAGCTCTTATTCTATTGTTTGTATAGATAGAGAAGAATAGCTACCATCATGCACACAATAACCCTCATGTGCTCAAAGACATTAAGTCATCTATCAACCTCTATTTTTATAGGCTAAATAATCTGGCTTCCCAAAGTCTTTTCTCAGAGGCCCTATTCTTGAATGTATTATTAATCAAGCCACCAGATCCTCCCCGTTTCCTCCTCGCTATCCTTTCAGAGCAGTCTCAGCCTTCTTATTCCATATTCCAGTCCTTCCCACATCCCCGCCAGAATGTAGCTATGTTAACAGAGTCATAACTGTGGTTTTGAACCAAACCCTCCAGTTCCTCCTGTTTAACCTCCTCTGCTCCATGCAGTCCAATTCAAGCACTGCAGGTGGTCACAGGTGGGTGACTGCTTCCTCCCTTCCCCGCTTTTTCACAATCTTGTGGAAGTCTCAGGAATGGGAGCCTTTCCCCAGACTCCATCATGGTGTCTTCACCTGTGATTCTTTCTTCCTTTTTAAATATAACCCTGTCAAGTCTCATTTAAATACCTCCTTCCTGACTCTGCCTCCTGGCTCCCTGGGCTCTCAGGGAGGAGAATCCTGTTCTGATTTATCAGGTCCTCTTTTAAGAAGAATGCCGCGTGCTCAAGAAACCCAGTCCTCATGGCAATGCCACTCAAGAGGTCACTTGTCCATGTCTAACCACATCTGCATTTGCAATGAAACAACAGGGTCATTGCGGGGCCCCTTCCCCAGGGAGGAAAGTAAGGAAGGTCCATAGAGCTTCTCTCTCACGGAGAGACAGGAGTCTTAGCGTTTTCCCTGCACTTAGCAGCAGAAGACTGAATCTGCCCAGTTTTGAGATCTAGCAAATTTTAAGATGCCGAACAGGAAAGCCATCTCCCTTCAGATTTGGGCAGCTTCCAAGTCAGGCTTATTCAGCGCCCAAGTTTCAATTCCGGCTAGTGTAGTGGAGAGAACAAGGAATCTGTAGTCAGGAGATAAGGCTGTAAGCCTCAGCTCTGCCACGGATGTATACTTCGGGTAAATCCCTTCCTCTCCTTGAGCCTTAGTTTCTCCATTGGTAAAACGAGGAGCTTGGCCTCAATGATTTCTCTAAGTTTCCTCCCAAGACTGAGGTTCCATAAGGAGGATTGACGTACCCCTGGCAGTCAGGAAACTTCCCTAGCCTGGTTATAAAGTCTGCTTCTCTCTCATTCTTCTCTGAGTGGCACAGACACAGGGGATGGTGCATAGTAGGCTGTCCTCTGTCCCAGAATGTCCAGGCCTAACAGTGATTTTTGAGCTAGAGGGGCTTCTGTGGGTAGTGTGAACTTTAGTGTCAAGATTGTGAGTCTCCTGTGATTGTTAAAGTAATTTTGGAAGAATTAGAGCCAGAAACTCCTGCAGTGAAAGTGAATAATGGTTGCAGTGTAAACAGAGAATGTTCACTTATGAAAATGCTAGAAGGCATCTGAGAACAAGCTCCTGCTGGGATCTAGTTCTGCAGCTGGTCCTCTTTGCTCCTCTGCAACCAGGTTTAAGTAACTGTGCTTGTCATCCTTGCATCCTTACAGAAAGTTGGCCCACAGAGGAGCATGTACAAAATGGCCCCTGGACCAAGAAGATGACTTTAGAGGACTGTATTCCTTCTCTGGATTTCCTTACTCTAACAGAGTACCTCACGATACAAAAGCCCAGAGACTTTTGTACTTATCAAGTTACCCTGTGTAGTCTTAGATGCAAGAATACACACGTTCTTTTAGTGAAGCTCAAATTGTTGAAAGAATGAACTAAAAGCAAGAGATGGGGGGGGGGGGGGAGAGAGAGAGAGAGAGAGAGAGAGAGGGAGAGAAAGTTATGGGAGGGGGAAAATTCCATTAAAGGATGGAAATTAAATGAACAACTCAATTACCTCTTCAGGCATGTGTCTATTCACTGTGTCCATGGAAATCGGTATTAAATGGCTTCTAAATCGCTTTCAGCCAAGGCAAATGTTTAAAGCCTATGTGCATTCTCTTCCCAATAGTGGCCCACATACAAGGTAGCAGTGCTGGGCAGTGATCCAAGTCACTACCAGAGGCACTGGGATCTCTTGAGTTTGTAATTTCAGAGCTTCTCGCCTAGAAAGCTGCCTTCCATTACCACCAGCAAGTGTGTTCTCTCGGTGCTCACCCCTTGGATGACACTTCAAATGGGTGCTGCTCCCCACCACACACATGCCCTATATTTGGGTAAATCACTAGCCTACTTGCTGTTCCCCCAGACATGACATGTTCTTTCATGCCTCTGAGAGATTTCAGTATGTAGTTTTCTTTGCTGGAATATTCTTCCCCTTCTTTTTGCCTCATCCTTCAAAGTCTAGGTTAGATAATGTTTTCTCTGAGATGTGGGACCAAGCATGGGAAGCTCATGCTTCTATAATTGCACTTTTTAAAATACTGTACTTCAATTATTTGTGTGTGTTTCCATGACTCCAACTATACCGGGAGATTTTGGAGGGCAGTAACCATTTTTCTTCATCTCTGTATCTCTCTTCCTGACAATTACAAGATGCTTATTCACTGTCTAGTGAATGAGTGAGTGGGGAAAAAAAACTTAGTAGCTGTCATTAGAAAGTGCTCTCAAGTCTACCTATTAAGAAAGAAAGGAAGGGGACTTCCCTGGTGGTGCAGTGGTTAAGAATCCACCTGCCAGTGCAAGGGACACAGGTTCGATCCCTGGTCCGGGAAGATCCCACATGCCATGGAGCAACTAAGCCAGTGCACCACAACTACTGAGCCCGCATGCCACAACTACTGAAGCCTGCGTGTCACAGCTACTGAAGCCCGCATGCCTAGAGCCCATGCTCTGCAACAAGAGAAGCCACTGCAATAAGAGGTACACGCACTGCAACGAAGAATAGCCCCCGCTCGCTGCAATTAGAGAAAGCCTGCGTGCAGCAACGAAGACCCAATGCAGCCAGAAATAAATAAATAAATAAATAAATAAATTTATTTTAAAAAAGCAAGAAATAAAGGAAGTCATCCCTGGGCTTGTGCTAGGAGCAGAGAGTGTCCTTGTCCAGGCCAGGGGAGCTTTCTAGGTTTGTTAAAATTTCTGTCTTAAAGGGATGTGATAAGAACAGAAAACTACACACTTGAAAGTCAAATTTGGCGCAGTGTTTAAGAATCCGCCTGCCAATGCAGGGGACATGGCTTCGAACCCTGGTCCGGGAAGTTCCCACATGCCGCGGAGCAACTAAGCCCCGTGCGCCACAACTACTGAGCCTGCGCTCTAGATCCTGCAAGCCACAACTACTGAAGCCCGCGTGCCTAGAGCCCATGCTCTGCAACAAGAGAAGCCACCGCAATGAGAAACCCGTGCACCGCAACGAAGAGTAGCCCCCACTCGCTGCAACTAGAGAAAGCCCGTGCGCAGCAACAAAGACCCAACACAGCCAAAAATAAATAAATAAATTTATTTTTTAAAAAAGTCACATTTACTTTCTTAAAAGACAGAATAGCTTGGTGAATGCCCAGGCTCCACAAAGAAAGGTTTCCTCACTGACTCCAGTTCTCTGGCTATTTTCCAATTTTGCTCAGCTCATGTCCTTAGGGGCCAGGCCATTCTTCAGCTTCTTTACAACAGGGACACAGGTTTCCCATGTGGTCCACGGCATCTCAAGCCACCAGAGTACCCTAGTACTCAGAGAAGTGGCAGGAGGCAGCTGAAGCCAGTCTTTCGGGCCTAGTCTGGGATTGATAATCTACTCTGTAAAGCTCTGGAAATGTTAACAGACAGAATCATTTCGCTTAGAGCATTTTAATGAAAACTCATGAATTTCACTCTATTTTCCTCCCAGGTCAGAACACAGAAAAAAATAGGTACTTAAAATACTCGTTTCGTGGTTGGTTCTTTTAGTCCTAAGGAGTGGACCACATTCCCTGGTCCTGTCTTTTGGAACCTGTTCTGTCTTTGGTTTCTCCTCTTCAGGCAGGCAAGCACTTGTACAAACTCGTGGGCCATTCCCATTGCAAGTACACTGGAGACTTACAGACCCAACAACGGCACAATGGATCCACTCAACTAGGAGATTCTTGGAAAAGACTAAATGATCAGGGTACTACTACAGCTGAGGTTTTTCCATCACAGAGAAAATGATATTGAAACCCCAGAGCAAGAAATACCTTCCCTGACCCTCTGAGAAATAGGAGAGGGATAGCTTTTAGGCCAAAAAATAGGGTACTGACATCTCTCAAGAGGTAGTATACCTAGTCCCTACAAGCAGTCTCAGGACTTCATTCATACCTGGCCACTGATTTGATAAAGGAGGGGGAAAAAAGGAGAAAGGAGAAGGGCAGGGGAAAGAGTAAGGAAGAATGAAGGAAAGAGATGTAAAATGAATTGTATGGAAGAGGGAACAAGGAAGAAAAGCAAAAACAACTTTCACATGTTGCTAGGAAGCAATTCTATCTTTCATGGATCATCACTGAAAAATGATATATATTTCTTATTCCTTGGAAGCTACAATACTCAAGAAGATCACACATGATTGAGTAAAATAATGGACATCCAGCATTGAACGAATATAAAAATCCTTCTCCCTTGATTTTTTCTTCTAATTTTAGAAAAGACATGACAGCAATTTTACAAAATCAGGAGCTTGACTTACCCTTTTTCTTGTTTTTAACTGGACCTGTTAAAAAGAGAAAATGGAAAACTAAGTCACTGGAAATTAACATAAAGTGTTGATTCTTCAAGACAGTCACAGGAGGAATCCCCAGGACACTGCAAATTTGAGGGAGCCCCATGCTAAGGGTCAGGTTATTGGCAAGGTATCGCCCAACTATCAAACCTCCCCAATCTGTCTCTGACTGTTGTAACAATAAAGTTACAAGGAAGATTCTTCCCTAGGAAGAAAAATATTTCAGGCTTAGTCTTTGGAGTGAGGGAATGGGTACTTTGCCATAAAGATGAAATGCCCAGAAATGCAGAACTCAACAACCTTAGGACGGCATTCCATTAATTATGCAAGTCCTGAGATTGCAGAGTCACGCATTCAGGTCAGGAAGTGATGTGAAGTCTCATGTGTTGAAGCTGGAAGGAGAAAAGGGTCATTTTCATGGAAGGAGCAGAGCAGCGGCAGTTTACTTTTTAGTCACTTCCTTATCGTTATTCAAATCGTTAGTTATTAAAACAGTGCAACCATAATACATTCATCTGGGGGCCACATGCATTCCCACTGTAATTTAACATAAGTTAACAGACACTTTAAAAGAAGTGCCAACAGTTTCATTGACAATGAAATCACAAGCATTTTCTGGGGAATTACTTCTAAAGAAAACATTTCTAATCAATTGAGGGCACTCAGAAAACCCAAGGCTTTTCTCATATAGTTAGGTAACAATCACTCCTCAGACATACACAATTTAGGTGTCTCCCAGACATGCAGGCATGTTTTTCCCTACTGGGGACTCAATTCACTTCATTCTGTAGGTGGATTTGATTTTCTTTAGGCGCACATATTTAAAAATCTGTTCCAAACTCCCATGAAGACCCTACTGGACAACAATAAACCCCTGTCAGTGCCCTCAGGAGCTCACAAAAAGACCAGCATTTGTATACTGTTTTTTTTGCGGTATGCGGGCCTCTCACTGTTGTGGCCTCACCCGTTGCGGAGCACAGGCTCCGGACGCGCAGGCTCAGTGGCCATGGCTCACGGGCCCAGCCGCTCCGCGGCATGTGGGATCTTCCCGGACCAGGGCACGAACCCGTGTCCCCTGCATCGGCAGGCGGACTCTCAACCACTGCGCCACCAGGGAAGCCCCTGTATACTCTTTTATAGACTAAAAAATCTATTTCCATTTATCATCTCATTTTATTCTTGCAACAAGCTTGGAATGGTCTTTACCTATAAGAGCAGGCTCTATCAAAGATTCTGTCTGAGCAGACTTCAATCAGAAGTCAGTAAAGTCTCTAACTTGGAGGGCTGCCAGCGTGGCCATCAGAGCTTGCACAGGTCCCTCGAAAACCAATGTCTGTGTAGACTTCCCTGGCAAAGTAATTTCACGTGCAACAGTAGGTATTATTATGCGCAGGGGATGTTTATGGTTGGGTTAAGCAACCTGCTGCACTTAAGGTCATGATCCTCCACTCTTTTATCCTCATTTTTTTCTCTCTTTCTCTCCTCCCAGTTCTTGGTCTTCTTTCTTTACTGCCGATCTTGTATGTTTTTAACAACATTGAGAGCTCCTGAGAATGTACACAGAGGTTCTGGCAAGGAAGCACAGCTACACAGATACTACTGACTAAGAGACAGCCTGAGAAGGGCCACCTCCTTGAACCAGAAAGCTGTCTGGGGAAGGATTTACACAGAAAGGCCTATAACCCCATCAACCAGCTACCAGCCAACCAGTCAGCCACCTCAGCCTGGGAAAGCAGTGAGATGACAGCCATTGCAGCCACTGGCCTCACAGACAGATTGTGTTAGCCCTGGCCAAGTTGCTGACCATTTCAGCTGGTTAAAGGGTAAGTACTATTACATCAGACTTCAAAGCAGGCTTTGAGGAAATCAGACGATCACCATGCACCTAGTCCTTATTGAGCACACCTAGGGAAGGCACAGTAAATAATGAAACACAACTCTATCCTCAGAGAACTTACAGTTGAATAGGAAAGTACTAAAGGGGGGAGACTTAAGGAATTATACTGGCTAGTTGAGGAAAAATAAATTCCTGGAGGAAGTCTGACCTATATCTACAAGGGAAGTTTGACCTATATCTACAAGGGAAAAGAGGGAAAGGGAAGTTAAACATTTTTCGTTAACTTTTATGAGATGGATGGACCTAGAGTCTGTCATACAGAGTGAAGTAAGTCAGAAAGAGGAAAACAAATACCATATGCTAACACATATATATGGAGTCTAAACAGAAAATGGTTCTGATGAACCTAGGGGCAGGACAGGAATAAAAACGCAAACGTAGATAATGGACTTGAGGACACGGGGAGGGGAAAGGGTAAGCTGGGATGAAGTGAGAGAGTGGCATGGACATATATACACTACCAAATGTAAAATAGATAGATAGTGGGAAGCAGCCGCATAGCACAGGGAGATCAGCTTGGTGCTTTGTGACCACCTAGAAGGGTGGGATAGGGAGGGTGGGAGGGAGATGCAGAGGGAAGGGATATGGGGATATATGTATACGTATATATATATAGCTGACTTACTTTGTTATACAGCAGAAACTAACACACCATTGTAAAGCAATTATACTGCAATAAAGATGTTAAAAAAATTTTGTTAACTTTTATTATTTTTATACCAGAAATACTACTCATTATACATACTTAAATGCATGCACATCTACATACATAGAAAAGGGGAGCAAAAAGGAAAAAAATAGCTTAAAAAAACTACTCACAAATAACCACTATTAACATTTTCTGCATATCTAGAAATTTCCTGTGCATATAAATATGTATTTTTACAAAATGTGATCAAATAAAAATGTTGTTTGATAACTTTCTTCTATGTCAACAGCTACATTTCTACATTATCATTTTAAATTTGGATACAACAGCATTATATAGGTAGTTCTTTATATTTTTTTCTAGTTCTTTCATGATTTCATTTTTCATATTTCAATCTTTAATTAATCTGGTATAGATTTGGTATACAGCGGGAGGCAAGGAGCTAACTAAAATTTTTATCTTTATTTTCCAAAATGGCCATGCCATGAAGAGTGCTGAGAATAACAGGGGCTCAAAGCCCTATCTTCCACTTCTTCTTGTGTCACAGAAGGGCTCCCAGGGAGCTTCCATCTATTCGGTGGACATTTGGCATATCCCTCAGAAGAAAATGAGGATGAAAAAATATGGACAAGATTATCCTTAAATTGTATCGCACTTCCCATAGGGGCTAGTGAGTACATCATCTCAGCAGTATAGGAATTCTAGCTCCCTGGTATTTTCTCTCTAGAAGATGGAAAACCACCATGGCCAGTAAATAATTCTTATGAGTTTCAACATGGTCCTCTAAGCCCTGGTTCTATATCCGCCATTCTCATTTCTTTTGTTTGAGGCCATTGTGGTTTCCCATCTTCTAGAGAGAAAATATCAGGGAGCTAGAACTCTCCCATATTAGATATGAGCATCTTGACCAGAGCAAAAGCAGTAACATCTGCTGAGTTCTATAACATTTTAGATATATTGATTTATTTTCTCTATATGCTTCAGAACCTTTTTCATACCTACTCAGGGCACTACCACTGTCACATGTCTGTTTCCGTGGTAACAGGCTACATTTTTCTATCATTCTAATACCCTCTATTTGTAACCATCATGCTTTCTGCAGGCAAACCCCACAAATACATCAGGGTGGGACAGATGTGCAGTCCCTGGGACTGCTTTTATAGTAGTAAATTTGAGATCTGACAGGTTTTGATCTATGTGGCCAGGCTGTTTGCTATCTGATATTAAGAAAAGGGGTCTTGTAATAGCATCAGGGCCATGGAAGCCAGCAGCAGTCCTAGCCTGAGTCTGGTCCTGACTCAGTCACAAACTGACAATAAGGCAAGTGGGCCATTTTCTTCTGATTCTTCATCTTCTAAATTAGGGAATACTTTGTACACTTTGTCTCTATTCAAGTCTAGGGTTCTGATGAAGATAAATGACACCATAACTAAAGCTAACATTTATTGAATATATATGAGCCATGCACTTTGCTAGATGCTTTACATATCTCATTTAGGTCTTAAACAATCCAGCAAAGTAGTTATTATTATGCTTATTTTATAGATGAAGAGATGGATTAAATTGCACAAAGCCACACAGCCTGTAAATATTTTCAGGTAAGCTGAAACTTCAGAAAGATTCATGTTTTTCTAGATGTGTTTTGAAAATTAAAAAATAAATGTATATACTTCCAATTTCTGGCTTCACGTTTCAAGCGCTTGAAAGCCATCACTCCCATACTCACAATAAGAAAAAAGCTGAGCAAACTTAAAATCACTTCTTAGATCCATCAGAGAACTGAGGTCACAAGGCAAACTGCTGTTCTGTAATATGGAGAGACACACCGGTGGATATGGAGACTCATAGCAGACTGGGTGAAGAAGCCTGAAGCTGAAGCCAGTATCAGTAAGAAGACTTTAAAACTGTAATTGACAAATTGCTAGATGCTCAGTGTGGACTAGCTCAAGGGCTAAAAATCCCCAGTGGGCCCAGCCTTAGGGGGTTCTCCACACGTTCATGCATTTTACCTTCAAGAGTGCTACCAGGTTCTCACAGTGAAGATGGGAGAAAAATTCTCTTGTCCTTCTAGTAAGGGGAGAGGAAAAGCAGCCATTTTGAAATATATCCAGACCTCTCTATTCTCTTTAACAAGGCCTGCCCTCAAGGAAAACTTTTATCAGAGCCTAACTGACTGGGGTTTTACCAGAGCTGAACTGACCTGGGGGATAGGAAATACCCAACTCAGGCACACTAAAAGATTGAGAATTAATCATAAGACTCATGAATGCTTCCATTCTACCCACACTTTATCACCACATTAACAGCACTCCTGTATAACGGCATTACAGCTAAAAACACTGCCAGAGCTTTATTTACAATAGCCAGGACATGAAATCAACTTAAGTGTCCATCAACAGATGAATGGATAAAGAAGAGGTGGCACATATATACAATGGAATATTACTCAGCCATAAAAAGAAACTAAATTGAGTTATTTGTAGTGAGGTGGATGGACCTAGAGTCTGTCATACAGAGTGAAGTAAGTCAGAAAGAGAAAAACAAATACCGTATGCTAACACATATATATGGAATCCAAAAAAAGAAAAAAAAAAGGTTCTGAAGAACCTAGGGGCAGGACTGGAATAAAGACGCAAATGTAGAGAGAATGGACTTGAGGACACGGGGAGGGGTAAGGGTAAGTTGGGATGAAGTGAGAGAGTGGCATGGA